CCCCAAAACCCCAAAACCCCAAAACCCCAAAACCCCAAGATTCAATATTGTATCAAAATCTTGGTTTAAGGAAATTAAAATTATGATGATTATCATTAATATACATATTATTTTAATCCTCGTGTAGAGCAATGTCCTCATCTTCCTCCTTGCTATCATCCTCGGAGCTTCCTATAGACCCTCTTGGCTTGAAATTATAAACATTTTCCTCAACATTATGATCTAGAGTGTTTTTATTCATACCTTCACCGGGATATACTCTTCTAATCCCATTAATCCGCCTATTTTTCTTCAGCACACTTTCATATCCAGAAATGATACCATTAATCTTTTATCAATAAGGAGAACCCTCTAAATTAAAATCTTTTTAATGAATTAGTGAATCTTTGTTATTATTATTACTTAGCATTCTGTCTTAAGAACTAGTATGACTCACATTACTAGATGATTTCTTCTTTAAAGAATTCTTTCGTTTATTAGATATACTCGTAATGTTATTATTCTACAGTAGTATTAATTTATTGCCTAGCACTACATTTTTCTTTTTGGCATCTTATTGCTCATTCTATCTTCTACTTTAATTCAAATTGAATAAATTGAACTAAGCAAATGATTTCTTTTTTGCCCTCTTGTTCGTAGATAAACTAGTTGATTTTATAGCGGATTCAAGTATTTCAAGATTAGTAATAGTCTTTTTAGGCATCTGAGGTAAGTTTTTAGTATAATTTTTAAGCGTCTCATAGTGATTATTGTATACTGTGGATTATGAATTGAGGTAGTTAAGATGAAACTGCTAGAATGGTATATTTTGAAAGTGATCTAGGAACAAATTTCCATCTCTTATTTTGCTATTTCTAGATTAAATATTAGGCAGCTCAACAGAACTTGATAAATTCATAGCAACTTTTTTATGTATAGCATCAAATGAAATTTATTAGAAATCTGGTCCATTGTTTTCTAGTATGTTTTAACTCTCATTAATCATGCTGGTGAAATACTAATTAGTATAAACGCCTTCTTCCTAAAATTTTCTTTTTGATGGCAAAGTTTAAGTGTTGTTAACTACACTCAATCTTCTAGGATCATGAGAGTAGCTAGGCAGTCGTTCTATGAAAGGACTAACTTACTACATTGAATAAAGGAACTTACTTTAGTTTTAAACTTGCAATTTATCTATATTGTTGATTATTTAGAGTTTTTAGGCATTGATATTTATGTTTGAATTCTGTGTTTGATTAAATCTTGAACTTGCTACCTTATTTACTTAGAACGTATTTTCAATTTAGCTATTCCTTGTATTTTTATACTTCCTCTAGCTATTTCTAGCTATATTAATTCCAAATTCAATAGATCCATTCTTCTCAGACTCATCACTGTCGCTCTTAGTCATGAATTTGGCAAATTTATCCTACAAGTGAGTACTGTGATTGTTATTACTGGAATTCTTGAGAGTCTCTTATCCGAGCTGATCAAAGTCGAACTTAGTCAATTTTTAGAGAGCCATATTACTTAGCTTGTCCTTCTTTTATTATTCTAGCATAAGAAATGCTTGTTTAGATTCAGCTTTGTTTACAGCAATGCTATTCTTATGATTCCTTAAGGAATTATTTGAGAATATAAGACTATTATCAAATTTGTCATTATTTTTAGTATTTTGTGCTTTACTGCTGGTAATGACTAAGGAGGGCATAAACTGTCTAGTCGTTGTTTGCATTTCATCAATTCGTTTATTTACATTCTCCATAATCTATCGCTGCTGTTCTTTCATTTGATTGTCAAGTTTTACCTTTCCAGGATAGTATACACGCTAAGATTCGTATTTATCAAGTGGCTTTAAGTTCTTGTTAAAGTCCTTAATAATTTTACTTAGCAGTCATGTCTTGGTTGTAAGTTAATTAGAGTAGTATAGATTTGAAGAGTTTTAAGTGATATTCTTATCAGTTGGCAGATCAAGACAGAATGTGGTATTTTAGTTCACTGGCATTTCCGTCATTGATTCCTATGTAGAATTTCTAAGTTTTCTTGAAAAGCTTCAATTTTTAATCTATATCTGATTAATAATCATTGTGTCTTCTCCCAAACTCAGTTCAGGATTATGATTAATTTATTCCATTGATTCTATAATTAATTAAATTTATAAGTAGACTAATTAAAACTATAGATGTTTATATTTATCATCGTGGGGTTTTGGGGTTTTGGGGGTTTGGGG